AAAACTCAACACAGCTTCACAGAAATGTTTCTAACACTTTTAGGCATGAATATTTTAAACATTTAGTCATTTACATGATATGATGTATGAGAGATGTTTTTTTTAGCAGTGTGAGCTCTGAAGAAGGCAGGGGCACGTCCAGTGCATAGCAGGACAACTCAGAGACCTACAACCCTGCTCACACACCTACAGAGAGTCATGGGAATGTGGAGAGAAGCTATTCATAAATGGGGAGAACAGGTAAACTCCTTGCAGAAAGACTCTAGGATGGGATTTAAACCAAGGACCAGTGTTGCCAACTCCTCAGTAAGGAAAGTAGCTATTAGCTGTGCTAAAAGTCGCTAAATGACGTCATCGCCTAATTTGCATAAAAACATATTATATAGTGTTTTTACTCACTGTCCATTAATGTTTATTTATTTTATTTTTTGATTTATATTTTTTAATTATTGTGATCAATTTGCGCCGTCAATCCTGGCGCATGCATGCTTCATTTGCAGTCTGGACGCTGAGGGTAAACATCCTGCGGCTCTGACTGTGGTGCTGAGAGGGACTCCTGCGGGAGCCAGAGAACGGGGTTGGGATGGGGGAGGCGCCCCACGGCAGCAGCTGCCGCTGGAGGACAAGAGTAGGAACGATACATGCTTTGACGTAAGAGTCTCCAAAAGCCGCCAGTGACACCGTAAAAAGTCGTCAGATTTGTCGCTAGTCGCTTTTTTGAAAAATAGTCGCTGGAGGGGTCTGAAAAGTCGCTAAAGTTGCCAAGGACCTCCTTACTGCTAGGCAACAGTGCTACAGACTGTGCCACACAATCTTTAATGCTGACCGCAAGCAGCAGAAGCAGCTAGTTTACATGCAAAGTCGATGGTCGACGCACATCAAGACGCAGCTAAAGGTCCTGAAGCGTTTTGAGCAGCAGGAGCAACTTGTCATGAGTTTCTGAGCATCTGACGCTCGCACCAAGCTTCAGAAGCAGCAGCTGCTGGAGTCGGAAACACTGAACATTAGCTGCTGGACGAGCCTCATGAACCAATCAGAGAAGCTGATCTGGGAGCTGGCAGGGAGTCAGACACAGCACTGCTGATGCAGAGCGCTATGATCACTCCTCTGAAACAGTTTATTAACGCCTAAATCAACTTAAAATGGAGAAACCTTCCGGCAGAATATGTTTGACTTTATTATTCTGTTGCCTGCAGTTTGGATTACGTACATAAAAAAATTGCCTTCCAGCCGCCGCAAACATTAGGGGAAAACCCCCAAGAGGCGACCAGGCCTGAGGCAGCTGCTGCTGGGGATTCCCAGTGACAGCACGGTATGTGGGGGTCTGAGCGGCTCCCACAGAGAAATAATCTTTAAAGGCAGGATAATAATCTGGATGAACTGACTGCACAGGTGGACTTTCTCACTTAAAAATATATTAAAACTACTTTCCCCCACTGATCACAGCAAATATAGCTGCCATTGTTCCAGGCAAAGAAAGGATAGGGTAGCTCCGCCTACCGCTCAGCTAGAGCAGCAAAGATGCTTCAGCCGTGCGTCAGAACTAAACGTCTACAAGCATAAAAAATAAAGCAGCACGCACGTTTTTGCTGCTCCTGCTGTGCACGGCCTGAACATAAGTCTTATTGTTAGCCTGCAGCAGCTCAGCTAGCAAACAGACACACACCATAAACCTGCCACTAATATCCTTGCAAGAAGATTCAGGACTTCGTTTCCGAAAACCGGTGGTCAAGTGTCCAGAGTTTATGGTGGCATCTAGGTGCAAACATTTGCAACGTTTGTAACACTTTGCATTGCTGATTAAAACAGGAAGGAGGGAAAAAGATACAGAGGGATGCTCACAAAGGACTCCAAGAAAAAAGTCACAAATCACAAAAATACAAAGGACACATGTTTGAGGAATCAAAGGTAATCTAGTCAGATGCAACTTACTGATCACATAGTCTCCAAATGGATCCTCATTCTCGTCATCATCAAGGTAAACTGAGAGAAAGATGCCGGAAAAAAAGAAAAGAAAGGAAATAAGAAAATAATAGAAAAAAAAACAAATGATAGTAGTAAATCAACAAAGGAAACTCAGCTTACAGAAAAAACAGAAGAGAAAATTAATAAAATAAATGAATAAATAAATCAATATATATATATATATAGTCATAGTNTATATATATATATATATATATATATATATATATATATTTATCTATATATTTATTAGGGATGGAACGGTTTATGAAAACCGGCCGAACCATTCCGTTCGACTGTCTCGGTTCGGTTCGCGTGTGTTTCGTTCGGTTCATGCGCTGCTCCTTTTTCTAATAGGCGAACCGTTAACACTCGACCAAAGCCAACCACCAATGGTAAACAAGAAGAACAAGAAGCGAAGCAGCGTAGCAGAAAAAAATCAGTTGTTGTGGAGAATTGTGTGGGTATGGTGAGTGGGAAAGAACTGGAGTTGGAAGTAGGGTGACCAGATGTCCGGCTTTAGGGCGGAAAGTCCGGATTTTCATTGCACTGTCCGCATTCAGCCGGACGTATATTTGTCCTCCTTTACCCCCAGATTCCACATACTCCGTCAGCACTCCGCTCTGCTCACGTACGTCGTGCGGAATACTTGTCTGTCATGTAAATCAATGAGAGCTGTTCCACATCCTCCGTTACTCCTCCGCTACTTCTCTGATCCAGTCCAGATCAAGACCCGCAATTACAATCGAACCAAACAGGAAAAAGAATGTAGAGAAGACCCGGTTTTTCAAATTAATTTATAGTAAAAACAGACCGGTAACTAGAGATTAGAGCATAGTTCGTATATAATACAAAAACTAAGAGCAATTAATTAAATATTTGGATGCAGACTATTGGTGCTTCAACAGACCAGGAAGAAGTTGTGAGATTCTAGAGCGCATCTCACAACTTTAAAAGAAAATTCTTATTGCAGGAATGAATGAAGAGATGATGAGTTTGGAAGCGGAGAACAGAGTTCATACAAACTATGTTTGATCCTGTTTATCCCTGTTACAAAAATCCACAACAGAAAGAAAATATTTAGGCAGAAACTGAACATCTGCTGGATGATGATGGGGATTTTTTTTAATATGTCATATTAAATTAAATGTTCACAGGGTTTATACATACGCCTTGTCTTTTACAAGACCACAATTAACATATACCGAACCGAAAACCGTGACCACGAAACCGTGAACCGAACCGAAATGTGGATTTTGTGAACTGTTCCACCCCTAATATATATATATATATATATATATACATATATATCCCTCCAGCCTGTATTTTTTTCTCTGAATGATCTACCTCTTCTTCACAGCAGAGGAAATTTTGATCACTCTGACCACTGAATTTGTGATTTTCTTTCTTCTTCCGCACCTTCTCAGAATGGCATGAGAAGCCATTAAAGCTCACTAAATTTTCCATTAAGCGGGAAGCATAGGTGTCAACAGGTTATAAGTCAAATGCTACGGACATGTCTTCCACATTCTGGTCTGTCCTCTCCGTGATAATATTACCATCACTCTTACTAGACCTTCACTGCCTTCCCACTCTGCCAATTTTACATTTTTGTCTTTTTCCATCGATGATCTTCCCTTTTCCATTTGTTAATCCTTTCGGTTTTCTTTTTCTCCTGCTCTGCTCTCCATCACCCCAGGCTCCCATCCTTTAATGTGAGTTAGCATCCATCTACAGTGATCAATATCGCAAAGCTTTTGTTAAATGCTGCTCTTACGCATCCGAGACTAAGCGTGTGTGTTTGGGTCCGCCTGCCATCCTGTGAGCGTCTGGCTGTTTGTGTCCTGCATGCATGGCCAGACTTTTCTTCAATGTTAGCTCTGTTTTATGTTGCTTTTATTCAGTCAGAGATGCTAAAGAGAGAAAGCGGTGTTCCTTTCAGCTATTGCTTTGTGTAGAGGAGAAAGCATGCAGAAAGTGGTGTGTTTTAGCATGTTGAATAGGAAGTCGTTATTGATCTGGAGTGCTAGTCATGTTTCAAAGTCTGGACTTGGATCAAGAAGCGCACATGTACAGATTCCTAGTACGTGTGTTTGTCACTCTTCTTTCCTCATTCCAGCAACTCTTAGTGGATTAAAAGTCCTTGAACCAGTAGGTGAGGAGTTGAAGGTGTTCAGCTTCACATAGACACATTCCTGCACGCCTTCTCAGTGGTGTGTATTTGTGAAAGCGAGCTGTCAGTGCTGCTCTCACACACCATTCATCACAAGCTACTAATTCTGTTAGACCATTGTGGAGCCTTTTGCACCCCACGTTGCTCTCTGAAAACTCAATCAGAGGCTAATGCCCCCAACCCCTTTCTAACGCACACACACGAGCACAAGCTCTCACTTTCGGTTTCCGCCTCACACACACATGCTCACGGATGCCCCGAGGGGACAGCAGTGGTCTTGGGAGGCCACACCAGCTCAGCTCCATAAGTGTTGCTTGTGTTTGATGGACAGGAGAAGCCTGACCTTAGTTACTGCTGCTGTGAGGTGCTACAGCAGGGATCTAACCGGGCAAATCAGAAAGGAAAAAAAAAAAATCTGTGTTATCACTAAAGAATTAATGCATGTCTCATCATTCCTCTCCAATATAAAATGTGGGACTTATAAAGCGTTCTGTCTTACAGTCTACAGTGTTGAAACCGATCAGCCTCTAAATCTAAAAAAAAAAAAAAAAATCAGACAAAATCTCCTAAAAGCATGTTTACTTTATACAGAAATCCCAGGTTCCAGGGTACAACGGACCCGCGCCGTGCACCATACTTACACACTTAAGGGCAGCAACTTCTCAACAACAAACTAACAGTAATATCTTAAACACAAAACAGAACAGTATTGATCTTTTATTTTCAATGCCTTCAGTCTTGTAGCCTTGAACATTTATGCACTATTTTTGCACGCCACGTTATCACTTTACTTGGATTTTCACTTTATTTGGATTTAGTTTTTACATATGCATAGATATACGTACAGATATATATATACAGAAGAGCTATATGTGTATATATTTTATCTCTTTTTATTCTTATTTTTTATCTTTATTATATTGTATAGTTGGATGTGTGTATAATTATATAAAACTGTAACTGGAGCGTGTAACACAAGTCATTTCCCTCTGGGATTATTAAAGTATTTCTGATTCTGATTCATCATCCCTCACCATGGCCGGTTCTAGACAGGGGCCAACGGGGGCCAGAAATTCTAATGATGATCTGCCCTGGAACAGACATGGTTACTGAAAGGTCCTTTGGATCTACCTCATTCTATTTCCTTTACAAATTCTGCTTTACTAATTATTCCAAAACAATAAGGTGATAGCTTCAGTGGTACTGAGATACAGTAGGATCCCAGTTTTCATCTGTTAATGTTTTTTTTCCACAACATATAAAAAAAAATCCTCTAATAATTACAGATGAATTGGTTCTGCTGGAGGTTTCTTCCTGTTCAAAGGGA